TTTAGCGAATAGTTTCAAATGGAATAACAATAGTCTGTTTATGAATGTTGTTGAAGTACTTCTCTCCCTGTTGTTTTATCCCATTCAGAATTGGCGTCGATGACTGGCGGTGAGGAGCGGGGGTGTAATTTCTATGTGATTCTATATAGTCGATATGAATTATTTAGAGATATTTATGAAAGTGATCCTGATTTCCTTGCATTCATATATTTGTCCCAGTCGTGACACTAAGTTCTTGATCTCTTTATGGACAGATGACACCAGTGTACATAACTATGTGTGTATCAATGATTTATTTGTTGAATAATGTTATTTCTACATATTTAATCCCTGATTGCATAAACAATTATTCGTCACATCAGTTATGATCCCACTAGATTTTGTTATCCAAACATCCTGTCTATTTTTGTTATTTCTACATATTTCTAACCCCTAATTGCACAATCAATGTCAATCTTCTCAGTAATTATGACTCTACTTTGTCTGAGCTTCATCTGCCCCCCACTGTAATGACAGAAGACAAGAGCAGGCAACAGATCGTTTATTAAGGAAAATCAACACATATTTATAGATTTTAATATACATTATTGTAGATTAATATTAGTAGAAAATACAGTCTTTTGGTTGGTTGTTTCGCACACAAAGTTAACTTGCATCTCTTTGTGGCTGTGTCAGATCATCCATATGCTAACTGTATCCGCCTACGCAAAGTCTACTGTCCATCTTTGACCTTGTTTTCACATAAACATTGACCTCAATTACTGTCCACCAATTCGGCTAGCAACCATCTCTCACCACACCACAACCTGTTTATTATGGCATTTTAATTCCTAATTGTCATTTTATTAATTTGACCTTTAACCGGAAATTATTCTGGAACTTTCCCATCCATTTGTTATAAATACACGAATGTACAGCCTAGTTGGCGGTGACTTCATCAAAAAGAAAATTTTCCTCAAAGGAGATCGAAAAATTTTAACTGGTGGTGGAGGTTAACATTAGTTAGTCTAAACTAGGGTCACGTAATATAAAAGACGCTGGTAGAAAATAGGATGTTATTATGAAAGAGAATTCAGAGAAGTGTCTAAAATAAGGTGGCCTACTAAAACCCTTGGGTTACTGAAAGCCTCTATCAAGATATTCCTTTTTTTCTGCTTTTACGTTTCCAGAGGAACATAGGTTTTCTCCAAGCTAGAGCTTTGAAGTTTCGGTAGCAGTGGTATTTATTTTTACGGGACGGGGTTTCTAGTCTCTTGCCCAACCTTCTCTCTTTACCAGTCTTATTAATGGTTTAGCGAGGTTTAAGAGTGCATCGGTCGGGGATCGAACCCCGAACCACATAAAGCGTGGTTGGTGAGTATGCTACCGCTGTACAACCGACGCAAATTTTTATACAGTTTCTTCTATTCACTTAGTTTAAATCTAGTAGAATGTGATGTTTAATATTGTTGTCTACACTGGCGAGGATTTAAAACATTTACAATCTGCTGGTTCTCAAACTTCTACTAAACGATGAGAAGAAGCATTATCCAGCTGGATGGCAGCTTATCCTAATACATGAGATGACAGTTCCTCAGTGGTGTCCTTGGTTCACAAAATGTACTTCTGAACTTTTTATAATTGGCATTCAACAAAATTTTGTCGTGTATTTCTCGAAGGAGACAAAGAAGAGATATCATAATGATAGATTGGTTTGCGCTTCGGGTAAGATAGAACTGTGTCACACGATCTACTGTTGGTCAGTTAAGGGGCAGGTTGTCTGTCTTCTCCATTAAATCGCTTCAAAAGCTCAACAAATCAATTAAACTTATTATGAGTGAAGATAGACGGCCTAATACTTACACTGTGAAATATATTATAGATACAGGGCAAGAAATCAATGTTTACACCTCCTTTAAACTGGTCTATTAAAGGTGTTTAGGGTGTATCCTAAATTTTATGGAAGCCATAGCTTATATTATTATTATTATCTCCTTTAATTCCTAGAAGAACATAGGGCTTCAGTCACACGTCTCCATTGCGACGTTCGGTTCTACGCCAACGTTTTTATCTCCTCTTCACATGACCTCCTCCCCCTTCATGTCACCCTCGCACTGACGACCGACCAACTCGCTGTTTCCCATTCGGGTTCCACTCGAGCGATGGCCTGGCGTGTGATTTCACTTCATTGCGGTTTGTTTTCTCAGAATATGGCCAATCCACCTCCATTTTTTCCTGCATATTTATTACACAACTGGTTCCTTCAAGGTACATAAGGAAGCCATAGCTTATATATGTATATATAATAATATATATGTATCAGAACCATAGACAAGGATCCAGTTGAGAAGTAAAACGTGCACTTGCGGGAGCAAGTACATTGGAAGGACAGAAAGAAGGGCTTCTATTCGGTTTTCTGAACATATTCCAAGAAACCTGTGCCTGAAAGGAAGCAAATATTCTCAGAGTGCAACTACCAGACATATTGTTGATACCGGACATCTCGTAGAGACTTCTAAGTCCTTCAAAATATTAAATAGACAAAGGACAGCAAATTTACTACGATTTACCGAAGCGATCGCAATCAAACGATTCAAACCAACCAGACTTATGCATACAGAAAGAGAGTGCGATTAACCTTTCACTGCCTTGGTAACTGAATTTTGATTTTAATTACATTAATTAGTCATCTAATTCAGTGATCTCAACTCACTGAAAAAACCTCAATCTCATAAACTGTAACCACTTTAGTTGGTTTTTGAGTTGCTATGTGAACAAGCTACAAGCTAACACTGTTTTGTTAATTAATTTCTTCTGTTTTCTGTCTCATCCCCCCCCCATCTTTTTCACTTTAAAAGAGTATAAATTGATGATGAAAACTTAAGCTAAAAGTCGTAATTAGTATAAAATTGGTGGATGGTGACTAGCAGTGGAATCCAGGATGCGCATTTCGTCCTATTTGGGACTCGTCATCTGGATTTACCTGCATTTCTCAGTGAGTGATGATGTTCCCGCCGAGGCTCGAACCCAGTGACCATGGTTACAAACGCCAAAGCGTTATCCACTAGACCACTTGGCCCACGAGAGCCACCTCTTGTGCAACGGGTCATATTGATTTAATTGAATTTTGAATTTTCCCTTCGATTCATTGGACCGAAGTGCTCGACGGGAAAATCCAAAATTCAATTAAAATAAAAGTCGTAATGCTTACATTTTGGATGCATCAGTTTTATAGTACTTCTTCTCTACTACCACTTAAACATTAAAGTATTTTATTGTCAATCTATACAACCATTGTAATTTCAGGTAGTTTGCAGTTAGCTGATGAGAACCTGTGAAATAGAATGATGATATCATTTTATACTAGAAATTTCATCTTCTTTTCTTTATCGAAAAGTAAAATATTTCTTCGCTCAATTCTTTTATCTACTCAACATCTCAATAGGGATTTTTGTTATTCCATTATGGGTAAATTTTGTTTTGATAAAGTCTCACAGTGTTATACAGTAATGTTTACTGATGACCAGGTTTCGAGCACAATTTATTGCTCATAATCATATCAAGGTAATCACACGACTTCCTTAATTCATTTATATAGTTCCGTTGTTTTTCACTTGATTTTCACTTGATTTGATTGGTAGTAATATTTTCCATATTTCAGGTATGAGTGATGAATCATTTCTATTGCATGTGTTGGGTGTAGATTCGATGAACAAGGATTCAGTAATCAACCTCTCTCTCCACCTACCTAGATTACGTTTTAGAATTTTAACCCTCTCCCACCCTATTGTGTGGTTGTGTGCTAATGCATTCGTTTTATTTAAATAAAACGAATAGAAGAAGGCAAACTACACACTAGTGTTTATAGAAAACCAACGCATTCTAATAGATATTTAGACTTTAATTCATCTCATCCTTTAACTGTTAAGGCAGGCTTAGTTAAGTGTTTAAAAAACCGAGCAATGGCACTAAGTAGCACAAAAAAGACCTAAATGATGAAATAAAACAGATAGAAGAGGCGTTGGTTTTTAATAACTATCCTCTAAAATTCTTTAGGAAGATTGAAAAACGCCAAAAGAAAAATAAAAAGAATTGTGAAACTAGTAATAATAACATAAATAAGGGAGAATCTAAGTCATCTACAGTTATACCATATAAAGAGGGGACATCTGAGACCCTACATAGGATTCTAAATTAAGCAGGAATTAGGGTGGCATTTAAACCTACAAACTCACTCAGGCAAGACAAGCTCTGTAGGTTAAAGGACCCAGTTGACCCAATTAGACAATAATATAATCACCGAAAATACCCATTGAGTCATGAAGAAAATAAAAGACAGATTCAGCGAAGAAAATTTTCTTTATCGACGAAAATAATATAATTTACAAAATACCCTGCAAAAACTGTGAACGAGGTCAACTATATAGGTCAAACTAGTAGGTCAGGGGTAGTCAGATTGTCGGAACATAAGAATTTAGCTAAGGTAAAAATGGTTGACCCAGAGAAGATAAGTAATTTAGGAAAAAGCTCAGCAATTGCAATGCATGCATTAGCACACAATCACACAATAGGTTGGTGGGAGAAGGTTAAAATTCTAAAAAGTAATCTAGGTAGGTGGAGAGAGAGGTTGATTACTGAATCCTGGTTCATCGAATCTACACCTAACACATGCAATAGGAATGATTCATCACTCATACCCGAAATATGGAAAATATTACTACCAATCAAATCAAGTGAAAATCAAGTGAAAAACAACGGAACTATATAAATGAATTTAGGAAGTCGTGTGATTACCTTGATATGATTATGAGCAATAAATTGTGCTCGAAACCTGGTCATCAGTAAATATTACTGTATAACACTGTGAAACTTTATCAAAACAAAATTTACCCATAATGGAATTGCACTCTACCACAGTGCACAAGTTTTATTCTTATATCAGGGATTTTTGTTATATCTGACTTTTACCTCTTTCATTGAAGTGAATTACCCCTCATTCTATTTTTTTTTCTAAAAATCAGATGGTGATTATGGTTCATTAGATGGTAAAACTACAGGTGATGTTGATGTCATTTACTTGTCCAAAGATAAAATTAAATGTGGTTATTTATATCCAAGTATAGCAAACCAAGTGAATGGTTATTGGAATGGTAAAATTATTGAGGGTATATCAGTTTTAGTCAAAGTATCAAGAAATGCATCAGACACATACTTTCTTCCACCACGTTCAAATGGTTTCGATTATTTAGGATCAGTACGAGTTCAATGTTCTTTAATTCAACAAAAATCTCGGAAAACACTATTAACCTATGATAGATGGATAAATGTTATACGTAAGTATTCATATTCATTCCTTTTTAATGTGTAAATGTTTTTTTACTTCTGAAGATGCATGATTGTATGCGTGTGTTTGTGTGTATGTGAGTAAATCTTCCTAAAACTTCAACAAATCCTTACAGTATTATGCATTCAAAGACAACAGCGGATTTGATGACGTCACTACTGGAGAAGGTGTGGAAAGAGGACAAGGTACCCGAGGAATGGGAGAAAGGATACTTATTCAAACTGTCAAAGAAAGGAGAAGTGATGTATTTATCAAACCGCCACACTGCGGATTATCATTGAACAAAGCTTGGAATGTCAGTCACCTCTCTATCGCAACTCCATCGACTTTGAAAAGGCCTTCAACAGCGTCGATCGAGAGGTGATTTGGCAACTTCTTCGTTACTACGGCGTGCCGCTAACAATTATACATCTCATCCAACAGTTGTACGACAATGCTTCATACCAAGTAATCCACAAAGGGAAACTTACGGAATCCTTCGAAGAAGTAAAGACGGGAGTAAGACAAGGCTGGCTGGTTGCCTACTATCACCAGTGATTTTCCTGATTGCAGTAGATTGGATAATGCGACAAACGGTGGGCAATGAGGAAACAGGCATAAAATGGACTTGCACAGAAAACTTGGAGGATGTAGACTTCGCCAATGATATATGTCTGATTTCACACAAACTCGAAGATATGCAAGTGAAAAGCATCAAGTTGGCAGAAGAAGCATCAAAGATAGGAGGGAATTCAGGTGAACATAGAGAAAACAGAGGTGATAAAGATTCCTGGGAAACACCACCACCAACAACAACAACAGACACCAGTCAGCATAAATGGAAGGAACCTGAAAGAAACAACCTCCTTCACCCACCGACCTGGGAAGCATCGTTTCAACTACGGGCAGACGGAACTGACGAGGATATCAAAGCAAGAATCGGGAAAGCAAGACAAGCTTTCACTACTCTCAAGTCTGTGTGGAGGTCAACAGCACTCAGCATCAAAAATAAGATCCGGATTTTCAACTCCAATGTGAAGTCAGTGCTACTTACTATATGGATCAGAGACTTGGCCGCGTCATAAAGAGCATCTCAAACAAACTACAGACCTTCATTAACAGTTGTCTTCGCTCAATACTACTCAAGATCAAATGGCTGACCAGAAAAGATCAGCAACAGAGATCTCTGGGAGCAGACGAACCTAGCAGGAACCGATTGTGCAACAAATAGGCAGGAAGAAATGGAGATGTATTGGCCATACTCTGAGGAAACCATCGAGTGACATCACACGCCAGGCCATCGCTCGAGTGGAACCCGAATGGGAAGCGGCGAGTTAGTTGATCGTCAGTGAGAGGGTGATATTGAGTAGGAAGAGGTCATGTGAAGAAGAGATGAAAGTATGTGGGTAGACTTGGAGCCATATGAAGACGTTGACAGAGAACCGAACGCAATGGAGACGTGCAACTGAAGCCTTATGTTCCTCTAGGAACTAAAGGAAGTAATAACAATAATAATAATAAAGTCTAACTTGGGCATTTTATACTATTATTAATAATGTCCTTTTTCAAATTTATTACTAATTTTTGCAGTTAAAGACAATCCAGTTGCATTGAATGTATACACTAAAAAGGATACCTATTTTTATACTGGTTCATCTACAAGAGGTAGTTGTTATGTTCCTTCACTCGATGAATCCCTCACTGATGATACATATTGGAAAGTAGATATAATCAATGGGGATAGCGATATAATTGCTATTGATGATGGTAATAATAATTATACCGAACCCCTATTTAGACCACCATTTGATAAAACAGTCTATGAAAAAGCTGGTCATGTTGAAGTTCAATGTACACTACTCAATAAAACAAATAATACTCTGGTTTATTCTGCTATAAAAAATATTTATATTATAGGTAAGATATTTTTCTTTCTTTGATAAATGTGCTTTTTACAAGTGTTTGTTTCTAGGGATATGACTTTTTTTAAAGCAATTTAGTTCCCTTTGATGAATTTCGACAAGACGATAAGACGAAGTGGTTTATCTGAAACGTGTGTAATGTAGTGTGTATTTGCGCAAGACATTTCGGACATTCTGATCACACACACCACACACACGCATGCACGCACGCACACCAGTACTTGTCATACACAGTTTTTAGAGAAGGCATGAATCAATACACAGCAATCAGCATAAATGGAAAAAACCTGAAAGAAACTACCTCCTTTACCTACTTGGGAAGCATTGTTTCAACTACAGGCGGAACTGACGAGGATATCAAAGCAAGGATCGGGAAAGCAAGGCAAGCTTTCATTACTCTGAAGTCTGTGTGGAGGACAACATCATTCAGCGTCAAAAATAAGATCGGGATTTTCAACTCCAATGTGAAGTCAGTACTACTATACGGATCAGAGACTTGGCGTGTCACAAAGAGCACCTCAAACAAGCTACAGACCTTCATTAACAGATGTCTTCGCTCAATACTCAAGATCAGATGGCCGGAAAGGATCAGCAACAAAGATCTCTGGGAGCGAACCAACCAGGAACCCATTGTGAAACAAATAGGCAGGAAGAAATGGAGATGGATTGGCCACACTCTGAGGAAACCAGCAAGTGACATCACTAGACAAGCCCTCGAGTGGAACCCGAAAGGGAAGCGGCGAGTTGGTCGTCCAAGGGTGACCTGGAGGAGATCATGTGAAGAGGAGATGAAAGCATGTGGGCAGACCTGGAGCCAGGTGAAAACTCTAGCAGAGAATCGAACGCAATGGAGACGCATGGCTGAAGCCCTATGTTCCTCTAGGAACTAAAGGAAATAATAATAATAATAAAATGAATCAATACAATACAGGTCAGATTGTGTACAGGTCAAGGTCACAAATAATTGAGTAGGGAGATGATGCAGAGGTGTGAGTTAGAAAGAAAGAAACCTAGGTGAGGTGGGGCTTCCTGCTGATTACAGGATTTTCATTATGAGCTGTCATTAGTTAGAGAACCATTGGAAAACCTGCGAGTACTGGACAGTTGTTTCATCCTAGTTTGGGGCTCTTCAGCACTGCGCACCCACCGACAGGGTTCGAACCCAGGACCTTCTGGTTACAAGGCGAGCACGTATACAATTAAGCCACTGGGACCCGATTCAATGTCCACTGCATGAATTCTAACTTCTGCCAATTCACGAAATAGCGCGACCCCTAGCTAATGTCTTCGGCGAGTATTTGTCCTCACACCCGACCTGCTGCACCTTACTGGTCACGACTTCTCACTAGAACCCCAGGTAACTACCTACCTGAATAGGGCAAGTCGCTAGTGAGCATCTCATCTCCTGCTGATTGTTTCCTAACATCTAAACTTTGGTGAAACAATAAGAAGATGTAATTAATCTGGACTGTGTAGTGTGCATGTACAGCACATTTCGAACAATCTGATAACACTGGTACTTCTTTTGAGAATTTAAATGAAAATAATAAAGAGTTGAGAAGGGATGAGAAAACAGACTTAAGTCAAGTTGAAAGGACATATTGAAGGTCAAAATAATATTTGAGATTACTAAAACAAAGAAGGAAGGTAACAGTACATCTGTAACAACAGAAGACAAGGGCCAGGCAACAGATCAGTTTTATTACGAAAACCAACAGGTATTTATATGTATTTTGCGTACATTAATAAGGCTCTGCCCGCAGAAAGAAGGCGGTCTTCTGATTGGTTGTTTGCAAACAAACGCAGTCTTCTTCTTTCTCGTTTTCGATATTTCTCGGAAATGCGAGCCACTTGTCTGCGAATCATATTTGTCCACGTCTAGGTCAGCTGTGATCGGTTGTTGAATCAGCCTAGATTAATTTCTACCAATCAGCGTAGATCAATGTCTACCAATTGGCTAGCAGCTGCTCTCACCCACATCTATCCTGGCTAGTATCAAAACAAAGTTTGCCAAAGAAGATTCAATGTAATAAGCAGTTGTTGCTTTCAACGCATAAAAGTGGCTTGAACTTCCTAACTGCAAGTTAGGGATTCCACAAACTTTAGGATACGCCTCGAACACGTTTTATAGACAGGTTCTAAAGGCGTATAAATATCAATTTTATATCCAATCTCTATGATGTGTTTTGCAATAAAATAGCTAAGTCGTCTGTCCTCATTATTAATGGGCTCAGGTGATTTCATTAGCTTCTGAGGCCAGCGCCTACTTGAGAAGGTCGACGAGTTCTGCTTGTGTGTGTGTGTCTGGCCACGCGTACATTCAAATTGGTAGAAACACTGGGGTGTGATATCATTTTTCGTGCCCACTGAGTGCTTAGGTGGATATATGGGCTTCATATTCTCAATTATTCTGATCTGATATGATCTGATCTGCATAAAAAGTCCTCTTAACTTAAGCTTTCAAACTTTGTCTAGTTGCAAAGCTGCCATGACCACCCATGTAGAGTAGGTCGATCGATATAAACGTCTTTCTCAACAGAGGGTTAGAGCATGGTTGGATCTCTGCGTTCTGACCACTTTATATTGTGGTGAGTGCTACTTATAATCCGATATAAGTAGTATATCAGAAACGAGTTCAGAAAAGTAACAATATGTTTTGCACACGGGAAAGAGCAATCAAAGAAGAGAACCATAAGAAGAATGTTGCCATATGATGCAGAATCCAAGAAGCTATCGAATGTGACGATATTCGACCAATTCGTCACGGATGTGGTAAATGATGTACAAATGGCAGTTTGAAAATATAGTATACGATATTTACCTTCCTCGGTCTTTTCTTCTTCACAATATCACCTCATAAAATTGTCTATATAATTATTATCAACCAGAGTTTGTGTCAAGAAGACCTGGATTTCGCGCGTGGATGATTTATGTTTGATGTCACACAAAATCGAAGACTTACAAGCGAAAACCGACAAACTGGTCGAAGAAGCAGCAAAGACAGGACTGCAGGTGAACACAGACAAGACGGAGATTATGAAAATAACCAACCAACAACAACAACAGCAGCAGCAGCAACATCCAGCGCCAACCACCATCAACGGGAGGGATTTGAAAGAGGTTACTTCATTCACTTATCTAGGGAGCATTCTCTCAACTACAGGAGGAACGGACGAGGATGTCAAATCGAGAATCGGGAAGGCGAGAAACACATTCATCAACCTGAAACCAATCTGGAAATCTTCGTCACTCTGCATCAACAACAAAATGATTCGGATTTTCAATACAAACGTCAAGTCAGTCAGTTCTTCTATACGGATGCATCAGAAACTTGGCGGGTCACAAAGAATATTTCCAACAGCCTGTTGAAGACCTTTATCAACAACTGACTTCGCTGGCTCTATACTGAAGATCAGATGGCCGGAAAGAATCACCGACAAGAAACTATGGGAACGAACAAAACAAGAACCAGTCGCCCAATAAATATGCAGGAGAAAGTGGAGAATTGATTGGACACTCACTGAGGAGTCCGCTGGGTGACATCGCGCGTCAGGCCAGTGCTCGAGTGGAAGCCGAAATGGAAGCGGCGAGTAGTGGGACGTCCAAGGGTGACATGGAGGAGATCGTGTGAAGAGGAGTTGAAACAGTATGGACTAACATGGATAGAGGTGAAAAGTACAGCAGAAGACAGAAGCAAGTGGAGGCGTGCAGTTGAAGCCCTATGTTCCACTAGGAGTTGAAGGGAACAATAATAATAATATAATAGAGTTTGTGTCAAATTTGTCTTCTGTATATATATTCGTTGGATTCTAGGTTACATTTTGCTTTAATTTCCTTCTCTTCTCCTCTCTCTTCACAAAAACTAAAGCTTCACATAGAAAAGGTACACTCAACGGTATTGATGAATCAAATATCACTGTAGAAGTGAACTCGAATAAAACATTTGAATGTGGAATTCTACCTAAAGAGGATAATAATAATTCAACAACACTACAACAATATTGGCGTGGTAGAATAGTCAGCAGCAGTACTACTAGCAAAGAAGATATTGTACACTTAGATATGAGTACTGGTAAAGTGATTATTAGACCACCAAAACAACAAGATACCTACAGGAAAACAGGTCAAGTTGTCATTGAATGCCTTATGAAGCATACATTGAATGAAATTGAATTTGGATTCAATAAAACTTTCAGTGTAATCGGTGAGTATATACACATATATATGTAATATAGAGAAGATTTGTAGCTCAGGTGGATGATTTTGATGTGGTTGTGTTCTCTGAGCTGGATGGTTAATTTGCGAAGCTTTCATCACCCTACTAGGTGACATCTTCAGCGCATACTTCAATTTGTGGAAGTGAGCTTTTAGATTTCTCCACGAGTTTATTAATCATCTCTCTCGGTGACCTAGGACGTGATTGGTTGTTTTTGTGTGTTTTCACACCTTCTAGGTGACTTGTATTGTCACTCATTGTTTCTTTGACTTGAACTTTGACCCTTTGACCACAGGAGAATTAGAAACTCAAGTCTATAGAAAATCAACTCACACAGACCAAATCCTGAATTACAACAGCAACAATCCAATAGCACACAAGAGGAATTGCATACAAACACTATTCAAGAGGGCCAGGACTCATTGCAGCACTCCCACCTCAAGGAAAATTGAAAAAAATATCTCATGGACGTTTGCCAAAAGAATGGATATCCACGGAATTTCTTCAAAAGACATATACCCTAAAGCCAACCTATCAAACCAAAAGCCCCCAAGGAAAGCACAAAGAAAATCGCCTTACCATATATAAAGGACATCTCAGAAATCACTACATAATCTTCAAACCTTTAGGAGTTGACGTCGTGCACAAACCAACAAAGTCACTCCACTCAATTCTATGTCAACCAAAAGACTCAACAGCGAAGGAAGATAAAACCAACATCATTTACAAAATAGATTGTATCAACTGCGAAAAACACTACATTGGCCAAAGTCAACGTC